CAGAAATATTCAACATTTCTCGGTGAGACACGAAGCATTTGAATCAACGATAATTATTGGATAAACGAACCCTTTGCACTCGAAAAATTTGTCGCTGGAAATATTCAATTTATTTTTATGAGATATAGATGACATTTTTGTCGACTAACTTAAGTCGATTTAACCCTTTGCATTCGAAAAATTAGTTACTAGAAATATTCAATTTATTTTTATATAGATGACATTTTTTCAACTTAACGAGGGACCTATTCACAAAATGAGGGGAACAACATTTGATTTCCACATTTCACGTATCGACAGATCAAGACTTAATGTTAAATACGAAATTTTACAATTTCGATGCGCCAATCTAGTGGCGACTGGGAGACACCTTTCGAGTGCAAAGGGTTAAAGAACAAAATGATTCTATTCCAGTATTTCGCGTATGTTACGCAGAGTTTAATGTTAAATATTAACCCTTTGCACTCGGATGTTTTTCACTAGAAATATTCAACAGTTTCCAATGAGTTACAGATGACATCCTTTAAGACGAATTGAATAATAATATTTCAAATATTCATGGATTGTAAGAAGCTTAATATTATATGTAAGACGTTATGATTTTATCTATCCATGGTATATCGAATTGCATGGTGACTGAGACTCTCGAGTGCAAAGGGTTAAAATTTATAATCCTGCACTGAATCGACCTGTAGCTTCTCAAGTGTTAAAGCTTGATAATCTTTGTGCATGAAAATCAGCTTCCTGCGACACATGTAGGATACATGTGATAATGAGCATACATTTGTGATAATTATCATACAAAGTACTAAGCAAGATGATCGTCAAAGGGCCAACCGGAGGATACACATATAATGCATCCGTGTACAGGGTGTAAGCTTAAGAACCTATCATCAGCTCCCACTGAATTGCCTCGAATTCCCTATTCATTTGTGCTTTAGTCTTCATTATATTATACTCCTTTGTGTCGATAGGTGGCAATATCGCTTCGACGGTGTACTGTACTCGGTCGTAAAATAAATTGAGCGCAGAGGAATAACGAACTCACGGATACACACAGAGTGCGCTATCAAGGACCAATTACCATGCAAATCGTTATACAAGATGACCCGGTTCCCGGGCGAATTTAACATTAAAAATCAATCAAAAGAAAAATACAAAGACGACGACGACTCGGTCCGGTTTCCTTTTGCACAGCTGTTCTACCGTGTCCGGTCGGCTTTTACTTATTTACGTGCGCGTTATTTGTTTACCGAAGCCGTGCGCGCGCTTACACGAAACACGAAGCTGTATTTTGTAAACACTACGGTGAATCTAGTAACACTAACGCGTTCGAGTCAACAAAAATGAATGTAACTCGGAAACGATGTTGTCGTCCGCTTTCGAAAGTGCTCTTCTTTTTTTTTATTTTATTTTTCGCGTCGAACCTGCACAACACTATGTGCGCAACGGCGGATAAACAAATGGAGGAATGTGTGCTCGTCGACTCGGACAATTGCATTTCTCGATTGCAGATTAAAAACCAATCGAATCTTTTCTCTTGAGTTTGATTTATCTTCTGGTTATTCAGGTGTGATTGTTTTAACAATTGTTCTCATTTCGTTGTATTCCAAGCTGTTAAATTGTGATTATAAGTCAAAGAAATATGGTTGACAAATTTGTTTGCAACGGTGCATTATGTTTTAACACTGTTTCTGGCGAAGGTGTTAAGACACCTTTCGAATTTTCAAGTTGAAATTATTTTCCAAGTTTAGTGATATGTTCTGAATTGAGTTTAAGATTAACTGCAAATGTCGAGAATTGAATTGAGGAAGAATAATTAAGCTGGGAAAATAATTTTAAGTTAAGGTAGAAATAGTGTTAATGGAAACGTACCTTTTGGTAATGTACAGAACGAATTAGGTTCTCCGAGTATTGTAACAGGTGATTATTTTTCATTGTTACATTAATTATATAATTTTTCTCGAGTATTAATTTCTTTTGTTATCAAAAATATCAAACTATCGAATAAATGTTACGAAGAGAGCTAAAGTGATTGTTAATAGGTTAGAGACCGTTCGTGTGCTCTTTTACGTGGCTCCATTTTGTTTTATGTGTCAGTAACCTTCCAACGGCTAGCCGACCGCACTGGGTTATTTATGACTCATGCTTAAAGTTTTCGTAATATGTACTCTAAATCTGTCCCCTTAACCAAAATTATATTTTCCAGTGCCGCTAATATACAGTCCAAGTAACCTCGCGGTGAAATATTATTTTAAAAAAAAAA